CTTTTTCTTTTGTTTATTCTAAGTGGTTTCCTTATACTGTATTTTCAAACTGCGTAATTGATCGATGAATTTGGGGTCTTGTTGACGTGGGTCAAGTGATAGCGGAGTCGTAGAGGTGGACCAGGATGGTCCCACGCAGATTTTCGGAACAAAGCAGTGGTGTTGATTTTGGGGTCTTGTTGACTTTTTCGGAACAAACCCGATCCATGTGCATCTTGAAGTGAAGTATAAAGTGCCAAAAACTTAGCTCTCCACAGTCATCTTGTTGGGCAACCCAAATAGAGGCATTTCATTCTTTGATATTCACAGAGAGATCGGTTCAAGAGTTATTGGAGAAGTAAAAATGAAACGTGATATAATGTTTGGGATTTCTTTTGCAGTGTTGGTTGCGTCGGTTCTTCTCTTTGTGCTCGCATACAATTTTGTCAAGAGCAACAAGAAGAGCACACGTAGAAAAGCAGATGATACCGGTGCATCTAGTTCGTCTGCCGCTTCGGAAGTGACAACTACGATGTTTTCTTGAGCTTTAGCGGTAAGGATACTCGCAAAACCTTTGTGGATCACCTCTACAACAGCCTCGTCGATGCTGGAATCCGCGTGTTTAGAGACGACAATGAGCTTCGTGAAGGTGAGAAGATCGGCACCAACCTTCTCCAGGCCATTAAGAACAGTAACATCTCGATCCCGATTCTCTCTCGGAACTTCGCTTCAAGCAAATGGTGCCTTCAAGAGCTCGTTGAGATGACAGAGTGCATGAAGAGCGTCGGGCTCGTTGTCTTGCCCATATTTTACCAGGTTGAACCATCCCATGTGCGATACCAAATAGAAAGCTTTGGAAAGAATTTCTCCCATTTAAGTAGGAAGTATTTAACAGAAGATGTTGCAAATGGACACAAGCACTCCAAGAAGTGGCTTCCCTAAAGGGATGGGAATCGGAGAGAACTGCTAACGGGTATTTCATTTTCTATCAAAACCTTGTTTACTTTCTTTTAACAGGGATCTTGCTTGTAGAGGCCATACGTTCGCGTGTTTCTCAACTTGTGCTTGCTCTTTTCACTCGTACATGCTGTTGTGTCGTAATAATGAGATAACATCATACGATTGTTCTTCTAATGCATTTTAGTTTGAATGCTTTATAAACAGCTATGAAGGCGAATTAGTGACATGTCATCAGTCCCTACTAGTTCTTCCGCTGAGAGTGCTCGGTGAATCTAGACATAGAATCTAAACTCTGAGTCTAGACCGTTAGATCTAGTGGAACTTATATAGGACTTATATGAATCTTGTTATTGTCAATGGTTCAAATTCATTTTTAGTTTATAGACTCGATATGTGTAAAAGGAGCAGAAAGCGGAATCCTATGAATCCCGGACACCTGTAATTGTTGGATCTTTAAAAAACAAATCTCAGTCGTTCATTGAAAATTTTGAAGTGTTTATGAGGTGTGAAAATTTATATAGGAGGTGCAATGATATCTTGGAACACTGTCACAATGGTGGTGACTTCAAGTCTTTAGCATGCATGGGAATTGGGAAGCGGTTGCGAGGGCTGTTTGAGATGAAAAATACTCAGCGTTCGATTTTCGGGTAAGAGAAGTAATGTGAAGGATATAAACGTAGGATCGCTCGACCAAAAATAATAATATAAGACCCACCATTGTCGATGGCCATAACATGAGACCCGCCATTATCAATGGCCGTACTTGATTGACTCCGCCGTGACCAGTAAAATCTCGCGCTTGGAAAGCTACATATGATAGTATGGTGATGGAATTAAAGGGAGACAGGTCAGAGAGGAGGAGATCAAACTAATGAAGAAAGTGGACAACTGTTTAAACTCTTAGCCAAGAAGGCAAAACTCGATATCTCTTTTACCATTGCCATCAAAATGGTTGCCACTCAAGTTTCTCACGAAGTATAATGCAGATGCATAACCGTTGATTGCTCTCAAAATTCAAAATCTCCTTGTTGCAGATCAAAGAGTGGATCAAGGACTCTTTCTCCTTCCCCTTCTTCAAACTCCCATTCGTATTGTTCGTGAAGAGACCTCTGATCAATAATAGAACAAAATTTGCTTTGTCACATTTAAAGGATTCCTTCAATTAGGAGTCACCACTAATCAATTTACGATGGATCGATTAGAAATCCAAGTAAAGTATCGGGAGAATTACTTTACTTATACGAACCAGAGATTATAGATTCGGGGACTTGATTACGCTAGATTCATGCAGCTTGAATCAATATTATTATCCCATAACATGTCTGGTTAAGCATCTGCAAGTTAGCTAGAAAAATCACATTAACAACTTCAATATGATTTCTAATTAACACACAACTCACTCAACAGTTTTTAGGATTTTCACTTATTAAAGTGAAAACTAAATTAGGTGCAATGCATGTAATGCAATGACGTACAAAATATATCTATACTAACATGATGCGCAAATTTAATTAAATAAACCTAACGTGCAAGCTATATGACATGCGATTTAGATTATATGACCTAATTCTAATGATGGGCGATAATTAATGGGCAATAATCTATATGAAATGCAGTTTAGTTTAATGGTCCTAAACATATAATTGCTAAATGACATGCACTTTATGAACCTAATTCTATATGACATGCACATGATATATTTTTGTATTTTATGATTAAAATTCGTAATTAAAAATACCCATTAAATTTATTTATTTTATTAAAGTTCATAAGTTAATGAAAAGCAAATTGTTGATGTGCTTGCGCGGAAAAAGAAAGCATTATGTTTCGGAGCTTAGAATTAAGCTTATAAAATCTATTAAGTCCATCGTATAGATCTAAAATAGATACAATGAATCCATTTTGCTAGATAAACATGAAGTGGTGCTCTAAAGCACTCTCAACGAGTGGCTGCTTTCAATGGGTGGCTGACACGTGACGCTCTATATAAGTGACCTTTTTTATGTGACATTCTTTTGAAAAATTTTGGCTTTGAATTTTCCCCTTTAATCGAACTAAAATTTGTCGCTTATCGTTCAAGGGGCGTATAATCACTTTCAATAATAATTTTTTATAATCTATTTCACAAATCTATTCTCGTCCATGGCACGGTAATAATTGCTTCTGTTAGACCAAAAGCAAAGGGAAGAGAATATCTTTAGACACGGATGATCTCCACCTCGGTCCGCTCTCAGATCTTCCTTGGATTCGCGTATTCCTTCCCCTGACGATCTTAGCCTTCTGATTTAACCCAAAAATACCAAATTTAAAATGTTTGCTTTCGTAGCACTAATTCCAAAAGTCATCCATTGGGGAAAAAGCAAGATGCCAGTCATTCTTTGGGGGCCTACAAAGTGCAAAGAGTCGGTCGGAGCAGACCTTTCTAATTGACTCTATGCTTTCGCTGGCCGCTCTAAATTTTGCTTTGGAAAAATAACATAAACAGTTCTATGAACTTTGACTCAATATACAATTTGATCCCTGAACTTTTAATTTGTTCAATGTAGTCCTTGAACTTTAACCTAATATTCAATTTGATCTCTAAACTTTTAATCTGTTCAATGTGATTCCTGAACTTTTAATACATGTTCAATTTAGTTTCTGAACTATATAAAAATGTTCAATGCATATTGAGTCAAAGTTTAAGGACTGTTTGTGTCATTATCTCTTTTACTTTTTAATGGACAATCTAGTTCAACTTTGCTTAACTTTTTCAAAATGTGCCCAAACTTTTTCAGAAAGCTGTGCAATTTGGCCTGTAAAGTCTAGTTCAAAGCGACCCTGTGTTCGCTTTAGATGCCATAGCAAGTTATCAACACGTTCACATGTGTTCAAACTCATTCAAAAAGCTACGCTATAGTCGAGTAATCTTCCAGGTTTACAAGGAAACCGCTGTACTTACTTTCCCCCGCCTTGAAATAGATATTGCTTAAACCTCGGCCGCGCATGGTCACGAAAAGTCTTCATTCCACATAAATGTCGTACAAACAAAACAAACACCATGTATATGTATATATATCATGAAAAAGCATCAATTATTTATACTGGCAGATTGAATGATGACTATAATTATTTGAGAGCTCAATTATTTATACCATCACTAAACATGTATCATTCATTTATGGCATGGACGTCTAGTCTAGAAATGTAAGCTCTATTATGTATATGTAATCGTCTTATTATTATTATTATTATTATTTATTGTTATTAGTATTATTATTATTATCATTATCATCATCATTTTGTTTATTTTAAGTGGTTTTCTTATATAGTATTTTTTTGGGAAAAGTACCAAAAAGTTTTAAACCTATTACAATTATATCAATTCGGTCCTAAACATTTTTCATTTTTTTTGTTTCAATTTAAGTGTAAATGTCCGGTAATTATTTTGGTCGAAATCCTGACGTGAATCGCTTTGAAAATCCTATGCCACGTAAAGGTCAAAGATTAACGTGGACATTTTAAATAATATTCTAATAATTTTTTGAAATTTTTTTATATATTTTTTGCTTTTTTTCATTTTTGTTTTACGTCAGTGATTTTTAGCTAAAATTAATTGGAATGACTCAATTGATAAGTTGCAAAAAGATTTGAAATTAAATTGATAAAATTAAAAATTTTATGATTTTTTAAAAAAAAATTCCGTATTTTTTTTTATCGGACACACACGGGGCCCAGTCCGGAAGAACTGGAAAAAGAACAGCGGGAACTCTGCTCACTTTGCAATATTTTAGGGTCTGGATCCGACAGTGACAAGTCGTTGCAAACGAAAGGGCGTGGATGGTTCGCGACGATGCCCACTTCAAGCGACGACTGGATCCAGTCATTTTCTATTAATATTGTCTACTTTTTTCATCCCGATCCATGTGCAATATTTTAGGGTCTGGATCCGACAGTGATGAGTCCAAAATTGTACTAGTCGATGCAAACGAAAGGGCGTGGATGGTTCGCGACGACGCCCACTTCACGCGACGACTGGATCCAGTCATTTTCTATTAATATTGTCTACTTTTTTCATCCCGATCCATGTGCATCTTGACGCATAAGTACCAAAAACACAGCCCTGCACGGTCCATCTTGGTGGGCATCTTGTTCTTTCCCAGCAACAGAGAGATCGGTTCAAAAAATCGACGGAGCAGTAAGAATGATACGTGATCGAGTGCTCGAACACGATTTTGTCCAAAGCAACAAGAAGAGCACACGTCGGAAAGCCGATGACACCGGCGCGTCTGGTTCCTCGGCCGTTTCGGCGGGCAGTGACAACTACGATGTGTTCTTGAGCTTCAGCGGCAAGGATACTCGCAAAACCTTCGCGGATCACCTCTACAACAGCCTGGTCGGTGCTGGAATCTGCGTGTTCAGAGACGACAATGAGCTTCGCGAAGGTGAGAAGATCGGCACCAACCTCCTCCGGGCCATTAAGAACAGTAAGATCTCGATCCCGATTCTCTCTCGGAACTACGCTTCGAGCAAATGGTGCCTTGAGGAGCTCGTTGAGATGACAGAGTGCATGAAGAGCGCCGGGCATGTTGTCTTGCCCATATTTTACCGGGTTGAACCGGCCCATGTGCGGTACCAAATAGGGAGCTTTGGAAAGACTTTCTCCCGTTTAAGTGGGAAGTATGTAGAAGAAGATGTTGCAAAATGGAAACAAGCACTCCAAGAAGTGGCTTCCCTAAAGGGATGGGACTCGGAGAGAACTGCTAACGGGTATTTCATTTCCATCAAAATCTTGTTTACTTTCTTTCAACAGGATCTTGCTTGTAGAGGAGGCTATACATTTGCATGTTTCTCAACTTGTGCTTGCTCTTTTCACTCTTACATGTTGTTGTGCTGTAATAATGAGATAACATCATATGATTGTTCTTCTAATGCATTTTAGTTCGAATGCTTTATAAACAGCCATGAAGGCGAATTAGTGAAAATGGTCGTTAGAAAAGTTTTAAGCGAGTTAAAGAAGGCCTTCCAGCTGGTTGTTCCCGAACAACTCATCGGAATCGATAATGCTGTGGAGGACATTTTGAGATTGCTGGATGATAACCCTAGTGCTACCCAAATTGTGGGTATTCATGGAATGGGGGGCATCGGTAAGACAACTTTAGCCAAGGTCGTCTACAATAAGCTCTCCGACCAATTTCGGTATCGCAGTTTCATTGCAAATATTCGAGAATCCTCGCTGCACAAGGGCATTTCATGTTTGCAAAATCAATTGATATCTGATATACTAAAAATAAACAATCAATTGTCTAATATGGATGAAGGAATCAGGATCATGGAATCCAGATTAAAATGTAAGAAAGTCCTACTTCTTCTAGATGATGTGGATCATAATGATCAGCTCAAAGTTTTCGTCGGGGAACATGACTGGTTTGAGAAGGGAAGTAAGATAATCATTACCACAAGAAGTAGGTCTGTACTTGATAAAGCTGGGGTGAATTGCAAGTACGAACTCAAGGAAATTGCTGAGGATAAGTCCTTGATCTTGTTTAGTAGACATGCTTTTCTGAAGGACTCTCCTCCGCGCGAATTTGAATCTCTCTCTCGTGATGCCGTTTCCACTACCGGTAGGCTTCCCTTAGCTCTCGAGGTTATAGGTTCGTTTTTGTGTGGGCATAACCGAGAATTTTGGCAAGGCACATTAAAGAAGTTAAAGGAAAAACCACATTTGGAAGTGCAAGAGAAGCTGAGGATAAGTTATAACTCATTAAACCGTGAGGAAAGGCAGATATTTTTGGACATCGCTTGTTTCTTCATTGGACTTCCTTTAGAATTTGTATCCCACATGTGGGATGCTTGTGATTTTCCTTCGAGGATGGTGATTGAAATATTGAGTTTTATGTCACTAATAAAAGTTGGAGATGATGGAGAGTTGATGATGCATGACCAACTGAGAGACCTTGGTAGGGAAATTGTTCGTCAAGAAGATTACGATGTGCCTATGAATCGAAGTAGGTTGTGGGTCCATGAGGAAGCCTTGGAAGTACTTCAGAATACTAAGGTAATTGTTACCTCTATTGTTGTTCTACTCTCTTTTGACATGAATTCTCTTGATTGGAATGAATTGTTAGACCTCACAACCGAGATTACTCTCCTTATATTATTTCCTTGATGTGATTAGGAAGTGATGTGCTTAGCATCTATACATGATAGACATTTTCTATCGAGTTGAAAAAAGAAGAAGAAGAAAACTTTTGGTTTAAACGAAGAACTCCCTATTGCTTAGTGGTTACTTGTGCACTTGGTGTTAGTATTGATAGATTCCAAGTCGTTATTCGATGTAGCCAATGTGTTTTTTTTCCCCTGGAAATGACCTAATGCACTGATCCTCTAATTGGATAAGAGAAGGAAAAAGAAAAAGGAGCAAATAGCATAAACAAAAGAAGGGAAGAATTTCATCAAAAAAAAAAGAAGGGAAGAATTTCATCATAGAAAAATAAATAATCAAATCATAGAAAAACAAACAATCACATAATGTGATAAATCTGGTCTGACCTGGGTGTCGACTTCACAACTATAGAATGAAGGCAAAGTGATAATGGGTCCACTGTTAGCTGATTTGATGCAACATTTTGTGAAGGGAATTCAAAAAGATCGCGTTCAGGCCCTTTGGCTCGACGAAGGCGACTCGCAGAGTGAATTCACAACTGAGCAATTTGAGACACTACCGAACTTAAGGCTCCTTGCAGTAAGTGATGGAAATCTGACTGGAGATTCCAGAAACTTGCTTCCTAAATTACGATGTCTTATCTGGAATGGATGTCCTGCATCCGTGGCTACTAGTTTTCATTTGGAGAATCTAGTCATACTTATTATATCAGATAGTGACATTTCAGAGCTTTGGGAAGGTTGGAGTCAGGTCAGAAGGAGAGCATCTTGTTTTGTCTCTCTTTTTTTTTTCTAACGAATTATATTTTTAGCGAAATATTATCAATCATTTTGTTTTGCAGGTGGCGAAGCAGTTGAAAGTTCTACTTCTTGCAAATTGCAATTGTTTAAAAGTTACTCCTGATCTCTCAGCCTTCCGAAATTTAGAGAAATTATTTTTCAACGAATGTGTTCATCTAGAGCAAATTCACCCTTCTATTGGAGAAGCCAAGGGCCTCACTATGTTGAGCTTGGAAGGATGTGAGAAACTCGAAGAGCTACCACAAGAAATAGGAAACTTGGAAAAACTGAAGGCACTTTCCATAAGCAACACTGCTATAGAGGAAATTCCTGCATGTATAGGTTCTTTGAAGAAGCTGGAGGAGCTTGATGCCTCTGATTGCCAATTATTGGCTGGAATTCCCGACTCAATTAGCCATTTGGTAAATTTGTCGTCCCTTGACTTGAGTGATTGCATTGACTTATGTATACTTCCAGAGAGCATCGGATCTCTCGTGAAGTTGGAGCGCTTGTCATTAAGCAGAGTGCACGTTCCAGAAGAGTCTCAATTTTGTCCTGCTCTCCATCATATCCCCAACTCAATCGGGAAGTTGGAATTGTTGACCGAATTGGACTTGTCATGTTCAGGCATTTGGGAGTTACCCGAATCCATCGGGGATTTAAAAAACTTGAAAATTTTGAATATTGCTCATAATGTGAAATTGAGTAGTTTACCTAGTACTATTAGCAAGTTGGGAAACCTTGAAGAATTGGATGCCATGAAATGCGAGAGTCTGGGAGGGGAAATTCCTATAGATGGGTTGTTTTCACTGAAGATCCTTCAATTAAGTTCGACATGCGTTTCTGGCTTCCCCGACGCATTCGATAAGCTTTCTCGTCTTGAGAAACTTGATTTATTTGACTGCAAGATGCTTCAATCGCTGCCACAAAGCATCAGTAGGCTGCCTTCTCTGCAACACCTTGAGTTAAGCGGGTGTGACAATCTTCAGTCGCTGCCAGAGCTTCCTGCTTGTTTAACAGTTTTGAAAGTCACCTGTCAGCATCGCACGTTGCCTCAACTTTCTCATCTAGTCCACCTAAAAGAGCTCAACGTTATGGATTGTCGATTGCTAGAATCCATGCCGGAGCTTCCCTCAAAATTATTGGAGCTTTGGGTCCATGATTGTGATGAGTTGAAAGAGTTACAGAGTTTGTCGAGTTTGGCATTCTTGTCAAAATTAGATCTCAATTCGTGCGGAGAGCTCACAGAAATCAAGGGTCCGAAAGCATTACAATCCTTAGCAAAACTGACGGTATCAAGATGCGGGAAGTTGTCCAACCTTGACGGCCTTGAACATCTATCGAAAAACTTAGAAAAATTGGATATCAACGGGTGCAGATCCATCGAAACGTTACCGGACCTCTCATGCTTCGATAACCTGGAATATCTGGACATTAGAGGGTGCTCGAAGCTTCGTGATGTTCAGGGACTGGAGAAAGTCTTAAATGTGATCAGATGAGAGATTCAACTCCGAGCCTCAGCAAATTGTCCACATCTGTCGTATTAAGAAGATTTAATGAAATGATGCGGGTGAATCTCGCATGAAATTGAGGAGATCACAGAGCTCCAGGAATCAAGGAATCTAAACTCTAAAAGACGTTGAGCGATTCAACTTATCTGAATTTCATGCGTTCATTGTTCTACAGCAGCAGAGAGAACCAATCGGTTCATGAAAAGAATGCTCCGAAGAGTCGAGCACTTTGGCCGCAATGTCCGGAACGATTCACGTTGTGCTTTGAAAGGTAAATAAATAAAGCAGGTCACACTGTTCATTGTCGAGATGCATTGCCAAATTTTGTCAGCATTGGAGACGCTAGTCGTGGAAGTAGACACGGTGCTTCAGGGGTATCGGGCTCCGGATCACGGGAGGAGTTAATAATAAAATTTACAAGGAAAAGTAGAAGGATTTACCAAAGTTTTGATACGTCAGAAAATTACCACCTTTTTCAAATTCCATAGGCGTGGTTAGAAAAATACCAACTCGAAAATGATTTTACCGTCGTCCCCATTAATTAGTTAGTGACCAATTATTTTCGAATTGCACAAGCGTAACACTTCAATAGATCTACAAATATGTCAATAAATTTCTAGGTTACGAATTACTGTCATTATTAAATATTTTTGCCGACTAAAAAGTTTCCATAGTTAATGCATTAACAATTTGATATTAGCAACGTACGAAGAAGGAGGTTTGATATTTAATCACTGAATAAAAAGATGGATTATTTTCTTTGTCTCCTTTCTTTTACATAAAATAATTAGGTCGAATTTAATCATTTTCCATGACAACAGGGTATTGTTTTCCTTCTCTTACGTGATTCAAGGAACGGGGAAGCTGATGGAGGAGGATGACATGATGCTTCGGAGAAATCACTCTCTTGATAATGCCAACAGTCATCAGAATGCCTTCTAAGTACATCAGATGTCATAGCCATCAAGTAAGATTGCTCATACTTAACTATCACTAGCAAATCTGACTTATAATTTACTGTAAGTACTGAGTTTGAAGAGTGATTTGCTTCCTCCCTTGACGTCTATTTGGTTATGTTTATGCGCCTACGCAGATACTTTTGATTTCATTTTATCCGTGAGGATGCTCAAATGGAAGAACAGTTGCTTCAAATAAGTGAAATGTACTCTTCGGGAAACCCCCTAACTTCAGTTATCTCAGTCCCTTTAGAATTCATTTTGAGGTAAGTCATTAACATGTTTTTAATACACTGCTATGTTCTCTTCACAAGATTCCCCGGCCATTTTGGATTCTCGATGAGATTTACCTGTGGAATTTGACCGAGGGCAGAATATCGTTCAAATTCATCCCATCTGGAAAAATCAGCTTCAGATTTTATGTTTTATTCATTCAAGCAGTAGAATTTTTACGCTATGCAATGTGGATTTGTTCCGCCAATGCTCATTCTGGACCATCGAAATAGCAAGATATACTATAGCATGCTATGTACGACGAAAGAAACGATGTCATTTTAATCTGGGACATGTAAACCAAAGAGAACCATATGTGGAGGTGGTTCTGATGTGAGATTAAGAATGAAGTGACTGTGTAAATGGACTGTTTGTTTTGGCACCGGAATGAAGGTAGAGCTGGACGTTGTTCTTGCTTTGTTTTGGTGTCAAGACTACTCTGAAAGCTGGAGATTCCTCAAGGGTACCTTGCGGCATGATTTGGTAGTAATTGATTCAGTGGATAACAAATCGATCTCATGATGTTGCACCAATTTGCAGGGGCTGTTAAAGCCTTTCTTAGGGATAGTTTTTTCAATTTTTGAAGCAGCTATAAGAATTGATGCAGTTTATGAAGGTTGCAATTTATAATTATTGTTCTTCACAGTTAAGGCAGCTTGAGACTCTGGATTTATATCCATCCAACTCCTGATTTGTTGAAGGATTAACACTTGACAGCAATTTCCTTATGAACTTGAGGAAAATATCAACCATATTTATGTGATTCCTAACGCTGAAGATTGAACATCCTGAAATTAGAAACAGATGACGCGTATGCGGAGTCTCAGGATTTCCGTTCGAAATTCTTTTGTTCTAGAGAGAACGTATTTTGATAGATAGGACAGTTACTGACTTATGCCAAAAAGCTTTTTGTCAACTATTCAAATGTCTTTCTTGGTCGCCCTTCTGGTAAAATCAAGTTCATTCCCCCTGATCATAATATTGTTAGCATTAGTTCATTGAGTACAGAAGAATAGAGTAGTATGTTCGATTCGCATTACTTGGCATTCTAAATTTGTTTGCGGATCTTGGATTTTGAACTCTGTGGTCACTTTATGTTCTTGTTTCTGCAATTATAGTTGAAGTCCATTGTCAGTTTCCATTACTCTTCCAATTCTACAGGAAAGGAAAACAGAGGCATTTTACAATGCTCTCTTTTAATTTCCCATTTGTTGCAACAGAACGAGGACAGACAAAGACAAACAGCAGGAAGAAAAGAAAAGTTAAAGAAGATATGGGTGATCATGAAGTGAGGTGAAGGGATCCGAGTTGATACATCCATTGAACGAGGACAGAGATTCAGGGCTTGTGGAGTTATCTTCCGGCAAGCAAAGCAGCTTTCATGACAAGAGAGAGGACGTCGACGACATCCTCAACTAAGCATTTGCTTCCTTCAGAAGTTCACCCTCCGGAGTTCTTGAAGTTGGCCATGCAGCTCAGTAAGTTTTGGCTGCACGCTTCTGGCTCAAAATAGTCATCAGCACAACACCCGCCAGGTATCAATGTCACAACTCCGAAACATCTATGTGGGCGATACAACCCGGTCTATGAATAAAAGATCAAATTAAACCATCGACACAATATGATTTCTTCATCATTGCCGTCGCTTAGCACATTTGACAAGCCGAAATATTTGTGATGTTATTGTCCCAGAACGGTCAATGAATTGTAGGCAACATGAGTGCATTTGCTCCCCCACAATCTCCGCCCCCGAAACCTCGGAACAGTAATCAAAGTTGACCTGTGAATGAAGAGATGGTTTCGTGAAATTGTGAAACAACAGAGCCTTTGCAGGCACATGAATTTTACTCACTGATGTTTTCACCACATTTGTGTCTCTATTTCATTTTGATCCACTAGTCCCTCACGCCATTTTCCCTTCCACTCCGCAATATACTTTTTCATGAATGTGTGTATCCATGCGTGTATAGAGTCTATAGACGTGTAAAGCTATCGTTCACCAATGCAAAGTTTTCCCGCATTCATCCTCATAAAATGTCCACGCGATGCAGGGGCCAACGACTAGTCGTATCAATCTATTTGATGAAGGAGGAGGCGGAAATGTCGATGTCGAAACTCACTGTTCTGGCTTGAATCCAGGCATCGTGCAACAACCGTCGAGGCATCGCAATGTCTCTCCCCTGAGAGGAAATTGTCCAATCAGTCTTAAACCTATTGTATAGATTCCAATTTATTCATGAACTTTTCATTTTTGTTAATTTAGTTATGACCCTTTTTGTGAAATTTCAATGTAGTCCTTTTGGCTAATTTTCGTCGGAAATCACTGACTTGGCGGTATGCCAAATAGGACGATCGGCGATAACTGGACCGACATTGAACAAATTAAAAGTCTTGGACGATATTGCACATTGGGGCAAAATTCATGGTTTATTTGTGTTATTATCCTAATTTTTCCCCCTTACCTATTACTTTGACCAATGGCCAAGTGACGCCACATTCATTCCCTACTCGTTTTTCTTATCGCTAACTCTGAGTCCAGATCATTAGATCTCGTGGGACCTATATGAGACTTACATAAATCTTATCACTATCAGCGGTTCAGATTCAGTTAGTATATATATCCAATATGTGTAAAAGGAGTAGAAAGTGATTGTCACCCTTGGGCGCAAGTACAAATCCCAGAGGATCTCTAACCATCGGATCGCAAAATAACAAATCTCAATCGTTCATTTTAAACCTTTAAAATATTTGTGAGGTACGACATTTTACACAAAAAGTACAAAAAAAATGCATTGAGATACTACATTTTTAAGATGAAGAATCGATCCCTCAAGAGACCATAGATCCCTGTCACCATAACGGTGGCTACATCCGGTCTTTAACATGCATGGGGAGTGTTGTGTGGGCTCTCTGAGATGGAAAATTCTTAGCATTCGATTTTCGTGCAAGAAAAGGCAAAGGAAATCGATGCAGGATTGCTCCACCAAAATAAAAGTACGAGACCCACCATTGTCAATGGCCGTAATAGATTGGCTCCACCAAGACCAGTAAAATCCCACACTTGAAAAGCTACATATGCTAGTCCGGTGCTGATAAGATAATATGGACAACTGCTTAAAGCAGAAATTCCTAGCCAAGAAGGCAAAGCTCGAGATTTCTTTCACCATTGCCATCAAAATGGCTGCCACTCAAGTTTCTTACGAAGTATAAAGCAGATGCATAACCGTTGATTGCTCTCAAAATGCAAAATCTCCTTGTTGCAGCTCAAAGCATGTGATAATAACTTCTCTATTTGCTGCGGGTCAAGGACTCTTTCTCTTTCCCCTTCTTCAAACTCCGGTTCGTATTTTTTCATGAAGAGATCTCTGATCAATAATATAACAAAATCCACTTTCTCACACCTAAAGGATTCCTTCATTTGAACAGAAGAAACAATGTCATTCGACCATTATCAAACTGACTGCAATATTCTTCTGTACGCAAGGATCTAAACAAAGGGCTTGGCTTAAAAAGAAACAAGGAAAGAAGCAAAAGGGAAGAAGAATTAGTAGACAGCAGAAAGTAAAGGGCATACGAGATTTTCTTCCTCAACCGCCCAAGAAAAGTGAACATGATTGAACCCCGACATGAGAACTTCCTTCCAGATGCAATCCAAGCTAGAAGCAAATCTGTTTCCAACAAAATCAAGAAACCAGTGTACATTTGGGGATCTGCAGCAGAACTTCACCAGTTATCGTGTTATTTTCCAAAAACATCAACATGTCAATTTTTGTCACCGAGACATCGTCCCTCAACTTCTAGCAACTCATGAGGATAGTGGATACAGTTCTTTATTCTATTTCTGGTGGGTGTGGCTACTCAAAAGTGTAGCACAGTTTTCTAAGGCTTCACTCTTATGAGCCCGACATGTACGTATACCGTGTTTGGGCTCCGACAATCAGCTCTATGACTTTAGCTGCATGAGTAAACATAAAAGGATGAGCACAACTGCCCATGATAAGTAGCCTTATCTTAGCCAACGTAAAAAATAGAAGCAAATGGGAACATAAGAACACCTGTAAGAGCCCCAAAAAGGGGAACAAGTTCCAACAGTTTCTCTGCTTTGTCGAGCCTTTCCCTGAAATATCGGAGGAGGAACGTGGTTTTCCATCAGGATATTCATCCCAGAAATGTAAATTTCACAACCGAATATAATTTCTGGTAGCTATAAGTACCTTGTGTATTTGCTAAAAAATGGATCTCTCATGAGGTAGAGTGCCCAGAGTACCTTTCTTCTTTTCAACTAAAATACAGGGAAAAAGAACACTTGACACATCTTGAGAGAATCGTTAATCTGGACATCACATGGCTCGAAGGCCAGTCCAAAAGCATTGTGATACAAGCCAGGGCATCCAAAATGGACAAATTCAAATGAATGAATACATAACTAGAGACACTAACCTAATCTTTTACTGAAGTGGTGTACTGAGACGTGTGGTCTTTACTGCCCCACCCAGACAAAGTAACTTGAGAAAAGATGCCGATGCCAACCACAGTCATGGACAGCGAAAGAAGCCAAGGAGTCCAGGACCGACTTCCATACTTTAACAAAACATAGATTAACAGCCTTGCGATAAATAGGATTTCCCCCATGAGATGTAAAGATCCATGAACACCCTTCCCGGACAAAATAGATGACAATGTTGATTTCTCTGCCTTTGGAGCTGTCATAAAACAAAATGTATCAGCAAAAGTACACTATTACAACTTCACCAAGGTTCAACTAACGACCTCCAGACACGCCTACCGAGAGATTCCATAATAGAATTTTGTTGCTGCACCCTGCGCAACCACGCTGGGTCAGAAACCATTCCCGCATTCTCTCCAAATCTGCTTAACGCCGACAGTGCTCTTCCTTCCAGATTCCACCCATTCTGCCCAAAGCTATTCCTGAAAGAACCAGGCCCGCTATAAAATCCAGGTTTTCTGAAATCTCCTTGTCGCGACCTTCTCGAACCGGCCTTGCCTCCTAGGGGGTTTGGCTAATGGATTACTAAGTTAAACCTAGCTCGGGCTCTCCCAAGCCCATATCAATTCGCGACTTAAATTTAAGTTGTTAACATGCAAATCAATTTCATTTAGGAGTCATCACTAAGCAGTTTTTGGTGGGTCGATTAGATACACAAGTAAAGCGTGGGAGAGTTACTTCACTTCTACGAATCAGAAATTCAATGGGTACAGAGACTTGATTACACTAATTAACCAACTAGTGCCTTTTCGGTACCTAATTTTGTTCAATCACCACCTAACGTGTTCATGCAATAGTCTTACCATTAGTGAGCCCTAAGGTTCTATTTCTAACCAAGTTAAGAGAAGGAATAATCGATATATAGAAAGTGTGCAATCGAGTAATAATCAAAATTGAGATGCGCAAACAACGGACCAGCATCATTTCCAGGAAAGAAAAGGCAATCAAAAGCCCTAAAGGCTTATTCAATTTTTCGGACAAAATTTTCGAAGGTTTTTCCTAATTTAAAAAGAGATTTTCAAAATATTTTTTTAATTAATTAATTTTTAACAAAAATTTTGAAAATATATATTTTTTCATATTGAAATCAAAATGATTTTTTTTTTAACTAAAATTCAGGACCCGGGCCGGATCCTGGAACCTAGTCCGAAATATGGTCGAAGAAGACCTTCTGGTCTAGGTCACAAAAATAGGAAAAAGCTAAGAAACGAAATGGGCTCATTGACTTGAGCCCGATCCGCTTCTAACGGAGACAAGCCCAAAAATCGCCACCCCAATCAGCCCAAATCCATCAAGCCAATTTGAACCCCCAAAAAGGGCACCAACGCAGGCCCAAATTCATTTAACTAGACTGAGTCCAAAACCACTAAACCCCACTTAAGCCCACCTAACCATTTGCTTTTCTTGCCCTTCACCCTTCACGGATCCGATTCACTCACGCTCGAGGTTCCTCTTGCAAACCGAGAGCAACACTCTTGACGGATAAACTAAAATTCTAGAAACTCGGATGAATCAACCGAGAATCATCGATTAAGAATTTTAAACCACGGGATAACCTATGCCCCACCATACTCTCAAGCTATCTATCACTGAACACCCCAGTACTATCCTTCTCTCGAGATCGTCCATCACTTCCGTCCGCCACCTCCATTCGTCACAGCGACCATCCAGCCACAACATACAAACAGAGAGCAAAAGGAGCACAAACGCGGAACAATGAAAGCATTTATCACACTTCAGAAAATTACGTAACCCAACACCATCTTCGGGCATCACAAACCAACGTGCATTCTGATAGTCCAACGAGCCGGATCCATGTGTTCTCCATAATCGGCCATTAACAACCATAATGATAGGCAACAGAGACCGAAGAGAATGCAGAGGCGCACGGACATAGACTCAAACCGCAAGACAATGAATGTGATATGGACAAAGCGAAGACTAATGTTGCGATTTTAAGTAATGAAATGCGCGACCAAGTGTTTTGGTTCAAAAGCTTTTCCTTAAACAAAAACATATAACTTCATTCAGACATTATTACAAACACCTGGTAGTCAGTTCGTACATAGGGTACGGAGACAAGCTTATGTGAGTCTGGTTCAAACATTTGGTCGAGCATGTGGTGTGCGCACAGTAACGAGACGGAATTTAACATTTTCCAAACTCGGACTCAGATCTAGACCCAAAGAAAACCATCCCGAGACAAGCAAAAACAACCACATCAACCGATCCAAACTCAGTAGGCCTACGAATCCCAAGACAAGGAACGAGCCTTGGTTTCACGGTCCGGCCAAAACAGGGCAAATTGAAAAAAAAAATAAAAAATTGCGGAGCGAGCGTTTGAACGCGGAGGTCCCTACCCGGCTCGACGACGGCGAATGGGCGAGCTCGATAATTCGGAGTACGTCCGGTGGCCTCGCGCGCCTCCGAGCCGAGATCCTCGGGTAATCAACAAGACCCGAGAGAAATCAAAACAAAAGAGAAAACCAAGACCTACCGTAGGTTTTGGGCGCGAAGAAAGGGGAACGCCGGCGGACGTCGTTGGCCGGGGCTCAGGCACGGCGGAGTTGCCGGAGCACGCCTTCTCACTCGCGGCCTCACTCTTGGTCCCTCCTCTCACTCTCTGTTCTCTCTCGGTACCCCCCTCCCTCTCTCTCTGTTCTTTAAGAACTCTGACCCCGTTTCCTCTCTCTCGTCCCCTTCCAGACAACTTTTGCTAGTCAACCAAGCCAGCCGCCTTCCTCTTCCATGTCCAGCTCAAAGACCATTGATCAGTGCACCTTCTCTATCTCCATATACGCTAGCAGCCGGGTCCTCCCGTTTGGGACTGGATCAGATCCATTTCTTTATTAAAACGGCTGCAGGATCTCCTGGGTTCTCGTGTTACCAGGATGCAGCGCTGCGCCATGCTTCATCTCTTCTGAAATCGCGACTATCACCATCCTCGTGCAGAGCGTCCGTCTGATTTGTCGTTCGTGTGAGGAAGAGAAATCAGAGAAGAAGGTGCGTTGGGGCTGGGCTGAGAAGAAAGGGAAGGAGGGAGGGCCGGGCCATGGCTTAAAGGGGAGAGAGAGAGAGAGAAGGAAAGAAGGAGGCTGAGTTGGGCCAGGTGAAAAGAAAAGGAGGAGGGGGCCCAGGTTTAGGAGGGTCGGATCCAACCCGGCCCTTTTTTATTTTTTTTTACAAACAAATTTCAATAAATTTTAATATTATTAATGCAAATGGTCCTAATGTCCATATGTTATGCAATTTAATGAAAATTATTTTTGTTTAGGGGTTAAAAATTAATCCCTAATTTTCGTGAAATTAAACCTTAAACGGATAGGCAAAAATTAGGTGTCAATACTCCTGCTCTGGACTGTGAGGAGGAAACTTCTGATGGCTTCTTAGCATATGGAATCTCTTTGCCATGTAGAAGCATCTTATAGCCACTATTCCGAAACAAGGCTAACCTACCCAAAAACCTGGTTCAAACAGACTACCAGAACATCATGAAACCACACAAAATATGGCCAAATGAAAAGTCAGCTAACATCATCTTAACTCACTTAATAGCCTCTGTAGCTGCAATGAAGTCCCACTTCTTAGTATCACCATAGTTATGTTGTGCTACGACTTCAACGAGTGTTTCCAAGTCCTTCAGTGCAGATATGCATAACGAATAAGGAAATGTAGAAGGATCAGGATGACCAGTGTGGATCTGAGATGGGGCGGTATCAATTATGTGTTCATTGATGGCAATTAGGACACCCAAGATCGCAGTCACTGCAGTTAAATGACAATCATTCCCAATAAAACTCCAAATTCTTTCATTATACATGAGAAAAAAAATGTGGAAAACAATAGCCAAAATTCTAAAAAAACAAGCAGCCTAAATTTTAATGAACATGGGCCTGCGTGTACACAATTTACGGGAAAATTACCAAAAAAGTCCTAAACCTTTTGCAATTGTGCCAATTCAGTCCTAAACCTTTTTTTTTTGCCAATTCAGTCCTAAACCTTTTGCAAATCAGCCAATTCAGTCCATTTGGCCGGGCGGCGCTGACGTGGCCGCCGGCCGGCGTCCACGTGGCAATATTTTAATATTTTTTTAATATTTTCGAATTTTTTTTCCTTTTTTCTTTTTTTTTTTCTTTTCCTTCTCCCCCCTGGCCTGTCCAGGGGGGAGGCTCGCCGGCGAAGGCCCAGCTCCTGTGAGGTGAGTTGGGCCCTCGCCGGAGCTGGGCGAGCTCGCCCTGCCATGGCGAGCTCGCCCAGATCTAGGAGAGGGCGGAGCTCGCCCAGCCATGGCGAGCTTCGCCTCGCCGTAGCTGGGCGAGGCTCGCCCATTGGCGGCGAGGGCCCAGCTCGCCATGGCTGGGTGAGCTCCGCCCTTGCCGGCGCTAGGCGAGCCTCACCCAGCTCCAGCAAGGCGGAGCTCGCCTTGGCTGGGCGAGCTTCGCCTTCGCCCAGCTGCGGCGAGGGCCCAGCTCGCCTCGCCGAAGCTGGGCTCTCGCCGGCGAGCCTCCCCCCTGGCCGGACAAGCCAGGGGAGAAGGAAAAGAAAAAAGGAAAAAAAATTCGAAAATATTAAAATATTGCCACGTGTACGCCGGCCGGCACCACGTCAGCCGGCCGGCGGCCACGTCAGCGCCGGCCGGCCAAATAGACTGAATTGGCTGATTTGCAAAAAGTTTAGAACTGAATTGACAAAAAAAAGGTTTAGGACTGAATTGGCATAATTGCAAAAGGTTTAGGACTTTTTTGGTAATTTTCCCCACAATTTACTCCTTGAATAAAACCCCCACAATTTAAGGAAGCGATGGCCGATTAGTCAATCATGCTATCTTGAGTTTCCTTATATGTGGAGATTCAAAGCACTGACAACATCTTTCCATATGTCTGGTTCCACTTTGACCAAACAATCTCTCCAATTTGCAATTGATGCAGGAAAGGTCCCTCCAAACCTAATTGGAAAACGAGAAGCTAAATGTAACCAAATTCTCGCACTTGTGTTTTCAATTCAACCCTACTGCATCTCATAGGGCGAGCAGAAAGGCATTTGATGCGGAAAAGGTCTTTCAAACCCTAATTTGAAAATATGTAGCTAAAAGTTACCAAATTTTCACAAAACCTGCTTCCGGTCCTATCTCTGAAGAAGAGAATCACTCTGGCAGCAGCCATGGTAAACCCAGCTCCCCAATTAAAATGTCCAGATGAGATGAGGGCATAGGTAAATAAGAGTCTGCTATCATCAGAAATCAGCACACATGACATTATAATTTTCCTAAAACCGTACATAGAATAGTCCAAACCAATTTAAAAAAAGCACACAAATAGAGCTTTCTTGTGCATGTTAGATCAAGAATGTCTAGTTATGGCTGAAACAATTTAAACATGCCAGATGTGCTATGGAGTGAAGCAAATAAGGCTTTTTTTCCACCCAGACAGAAAGGTATCAATACAGATAGAACAAGGTGGAATACAGATTGTAAGCAACAAGATGCACTCAAGGGTACCTTGCGGCATGATTTAGTAGTAATTGATTCGGTGGATAACAAATCGATCTCATGATGTTGCACCAATTTGCAGGAGCTGGTAAAGCCTTTCTTAGGGATAGTTTTTCTATTTTTGAAGCAGCTATAAGAATTGATGCAGTTTATGAAGGTTGCAATTTATAATTATTGTTCTTGACGGTTAGGGCAGCTTGAGACTCTGGATTTATATCCATCCAACTCCTGATTTGTTGAAGGATTAACACTTGACAGCAATTTCCTTATGAACTTGAGGAAAATATCAACCATATTTATGTGATTCCTAATGCTGAAGATTGAACATCCCGAAATTAGAAATGATGACGCGTATGCGGAGTCTCAGGATTTCCGTTCGAAATTCTTTTGTTCTAGAGAGAACGTATTTTGATAGATAGGACAAGCATCTTGACTTATGCCAAAAAGCTTTTTGTCAACTATTCAAATGTCTTTCTTGGTCGCCCTTCTGGTAAAATCAAGTTCATTCCCCCTGATCATAATATTGTTAGCATTAGTTCATTAAGTATAGAAGTATATAGTAGTATGTTCGATTTGCATTACTTGGCGTTCTAAATTTGTTTGCAGATCTTGGATTTTGAACTCTGTGGCCACTTTATGTTCTTGTTTCTACAATTATAGTTGAAGTCCATTGTCAGTTTCCTTGACTCTTCCAATTCTACAGGAAAGGAAAACAGAGGCATTTTACAATGCTCTCTTTTATTTTTCCCATTTGTTGCAACAGAACGAGGACAGACGAAGACAAACAGCAGGAAGAAAAGAAAAGTTAAAGAAGATAGGGGTGATCATGCAGTGAGATGAAGGGATCCGAGTTGATACATCCATTGAACGAGGACAGAGATTCAGGGCTTGTGGAGTCATCTTCCGGCAAGCAAAGCTGCTTTCATGATAAGAGAGAGGGTGTCGACGGCATCCTCAACTAAGCATTTGCTTGCTTCAGAAGCTCACCCTCCGGAGTTCTTGAAGTTGGCCATGCAGCTTAGTAAGTTTCGGCTGCACACTCCTGGCTCAAATAGTCAACCGCACAACACCCGCCAGGTCTCAATGTCATAACTCCGAAACATCTGTGTGAGCAATACGACCCCGTCTATGAATAAAAGATCAAATTAAACCATCACACAATATGATTTCTTCATCATTGCCGTCGCTTAGTACATTTGACAAGCCAAAATAGTGGTGATGTTTTTGTCCCGGAACGCTCAATGAATTATAGGCAACATGAGTGCATTTGCTCCCCCACAATCTCCTCCCCCGAAACCTCATAACAGTAATCAAAGTGGGCTTGTGAATGAAGAGATGGTTTAGTGAAATTGTGAAACAACAGAGCCTTTGCAGGCACATTAGTTTTGCTCACTGATGTTTTCACCACATTTGGTGTCTCTGTTTTATTTTGATCCATTAGTCCCTTATGCCATTTTCCCTTCCACTCCGCAATATACTTTTTCATGAATGTGTATCCATGCATGTATAGATTCTATAGACGTGTAAAGCTATCGTTCACCAGTGCAAAACTTTCCCACATTCATCCTCATAAAATGTCCATGCAATGCAGGGGCCAACGACTAGTCGTATCTGATAAGAAAGAAAGATTAAAAGAGAATGGTATTTGTTCTCTTACAATGGTGTATGAAACAATGTACATAAGAAGCCTTTATATAGGCTTAGAGGAGTAAAGGAGCTTAGCATTCTTCCTATGTGGGACCAAAGAGAAAGAAGAAATGTAAAGGAAAACCTGCAAAACTATACAACATGTTCTAACACCCCCCTCAAACTCAAGGTGGATCAAATAACGAGAGTTTGGAAAGAAGAAATTTAAATCGTTGTGATGTAAGAGCCTTCGTAAAACAATCGGCAAGTTGATTCTCAGTTCCAACAAAAGGAAGTGAAATAGTGCGAGCTTGGAGATGATGACGAGTCAGATGACAATCGATCTCAATATGTTTGGTACGCTCATGAAAGACTGGATTTGCACCGATATGAATGGCACTTTTGTTGTCACAATGCAGAGGAGTAGGATCTAGAAGTGAAACTCCCATATCAGCAAGTAAGCGGCGAAGCCAAACAATCTCAACAGTAGTGTCGGCCATAACACGATACTCGGACTCTGTAGAGGAGCGTGAGACAATATGTTGTTTCTTAGAACGCCAAGAAATAAGTGAATCGCCAAGAAAAATGCAATAACCGGTGATAGATTTACGATCAGTGACATTGGAAGCCCAATCAGCATCAGAATAGGCACGCAACTTGAGAGCAGAAAAAGATGGTAGAAATAAGGAACGCGATAAAGTGTCTCGAAGATAGCGCAGAATCCTTAGAACAGCTGCATAATGAGTTGTTCGAGGAGCAGTAACAAACTGACTGACAACATGAACAGCATAGGCGATGTCGGGTCAGGAGATAGTAAAATAAATAAGACTGCCAACCAAGGTCCGATAGCGGGTGACATCATAAAGAGGTTCTCCATCGTCTGGGCAAAACTTCTGATTGAGCTCAATAGGAGTGGCAGCAGTACGTGAATCTGATAGAGCAGCCCTGAACAGAATATCAGCGGTATATTTCTGCTGAGAAATGAGAATACCACGTGAACTGCGAGCAATCTCAAGCCCAAGAAAATAGCGCAGTGGTCCTAGATCCTTCATGGCAAAATGTTGCTGAAAGTGCCGCTTGGTATGCTCAATATGGTCACGATCATCTCCGATGATGACCATATCATCAACATAAAGAAGAAGAATAGTGCAACCTGAAGAAGAGGTATGAACAAACATAGCATGATCAGCCTCACTTTGAATGAAACCAACACCTTGAATAGCATCACTGAACTTCTCAAACCAACCACGAGGGGCCTGTTTGAGACCATAAAGAGTCTGTCGCAAGCGGCAAACCTGTCCAGAGGTATGAGCAAGACCAGGCGGAGGTTGCATAAAGATATCTTCCTGAAGATCACCGTGAAGAAAAGCATTCTTCACATCAAGATGAAAGAGAGGCCAACTGCGAATTGAAGTAACAGCTAATAAAGCATGGACAGATGTCATCTTTGCTACGGGAGCAAAGGTCTCCTCATAGTCGATACCATACTCTTGCAAGAAACCTCGAACAACCAGACGAGCTTTGTAACGCTCAATACTGCCATCAGAACGAGTCTTAATCTCATATATCCATCGGCAATATACGAGGGAGCGACCTGGAGGAAAAGGCACAAGCTCCCAAGTACCAGTACTCTCCAAAGCCGAGAGTTCCTCAGACATAGCCTGGCGCCATTCTACATGCTGAACTGCCTCGCGATAACTATTAGGTTCTTGTACAGCATGAACA